GACTGCACATCCCCCGCCCCCCAACCCCGCCAAGAGCCTCCCGCCTCCCGGCCCTCACCTGAACACGTCCGCCGCTGTCCCATAGGAGCCCCGTAGCAGCTCAGGGGCCATGTAGCGGGGGTCTCCCTCCTGGGCCTCACCAGTTCCAGATGCGCCCAGCTCTACCAGCAGCCCAAAGTCACCCAGCTTGCAGCGGCCCCGGGGCCCCAGGAAGATGTTGGCGGGCTTGACGTCAAGGTGGACCAGGCCTTGGCCGTGCAGGTGAGCCAGGGCAAGCAGGGTATCCCGCAGGTAGCCCCAGACCTGGGCCTCGGGCAGGCCGGTGCCCCAGGCCTCGCAGTGCTGTTGCAGGCTGGGCCCACACAGCTCCGTCTGCAGGTACAGGATGCCGCCCTCCTCCCAGGCTTGCTCCAGCCGCACACAGCGCGGGTGTTGCCCCACCTTCTCGTGGCCGCCGACCTCGGCCAGCTTGCGGGCCCGGTCCTTAGGGCCCCGGAAGGGCGACATGGAGCGCTTCACTGCATAGAGCCGGCCGTCTTCCTTAGAGCGCACCTGGAAGGGAGGTGGCACCCACGAGTGGGACAGGAGGCCGGTGTGGCAGACCCTGTTGGGATTTCACACACATGGAAGGTGGAGCACGGCGTCCGCCTCAGAGCCCACGTGTGCAGCAGCAAAGCTGGACGGGCCACTCTGAGAGCTCTACGTATTGACCCAAAAGGGCCTCGGGGCACGAGGCTACGTGGAAAAATCTGGCTACACGAACACGTGGCCAGCACGACCCACTGTGCAGAAGACAAAAAGAGTCTGTCCGTATCTGGTCAACTCTGTGGAGACGTAGAGAAAAAGATCTGGAAGGAAGGACACCCACCCGAGAAGCACAGTGGTTTCCTCCAGGAAGAACCAGGCTAGGGGCCACATTACTTGTGCTTTTTAACAACAAAATCGTCTCCAGGTAGTACTTACGAAAGGAAGATTACCATTGTAGAGGAAATATAAAGGGGAAATATGTTTTAAGGAGAAATAAAAAGCTGGTATGAAGGGTATAGCGGGAGCACCTGCTGGCCTGAGAGGTGACGGGGTGTGGGGTGTGCGCCACGCAGAGGAGGCTGCCCTGGGGCAGGAGAAAGAGGCAGCCAGGAGCCACCGTGAGGCGTGCCAGGCTCTGCACAAGGGGGGAGTGTTACTGGGGGGCGTGGAGGGCCTAAGTAGGGGGAAGGAGAAAGCAGCCAAATCAGCCCAGGAGAAGCAGGCTCTCAGGGGAGAAAAGGGGAGTGGGCTGCCCAGGACACCGTCCCCTCTAGG